CCAAATAAAATATTAATACCAACGCGAGTTTGCGTTGAAATACTTGAAATTCTACCATATTTCCTGGAAATCTTAGGCATTTTCACTAATAGCGAAGATAAACTAGGGGAAGACTGCACTTTTGTAATGTTCCAAGACTATCACCGAGTAATGTCATAACCATATAACAATAAAGTTCTTTCTTTCCCGAATGTATCAATTGTGGAACGTGTGGTCGCCCAGCTAAACGCCTTAAAATCTGAAAACCCCATTTGTCACTTCCCACGTGAAGAAATCATGTTTAGAAGTTACCTGAACTTCTAACTTTAATACTGTCCCCCCTGCTACAAAATTTGATTCGGCTTTTAATGCAGCCTGAAATGGGAGTAAACAGGAGAGATAGAGCCAATATTAGGAGACTACTAGCAAAAACTGCAGGGCTGCGGAATTTGCAAATTTTGGCTTTTCTTTCCATTTATGTTTATTTTTGTTTTCTCTGCTGTTTTTTGCTCTGTTGATTCAGATTTACGGCATTTGTTTAAGATAAATAGTTATTCGACCCAGGTAAAAACGCAGTTCAATAAACGAGAGGAGCTTGTTGGCAACGGGGCGCCCTACTAGTGTAATCAGTCTATCAGGGTTTATTGCTCCATGGCTAAGAAATCGCTTGTGGGCTAAACGATGGTCGAGCGATCTTGTGGTACTCTACCTATTTCGCTATGTAAGCGTCCTTAAAGCGCTGCTTTTTCTACAGTAGTAAATCCCCCCAGTCCTGTTATGCATTTAAAAGCGACTGGACCCATGTTGAAGGGTCAGAACTCCCGAAATGAGACATTGTTAGGAAGATTTATTTTATTACAATGCTGAAACTGCCCTTTTTCAAATGAAAAGGTTGTAGTTTGTCTTTTCCTTCCTAGACGTGCATGTTAGTTTCTCTGAACAATCTTACTAAGCAGATAAAACTCACAAAATTAGCTTTATTACTGATGTCTTGTACTTTGTAAACGGAGCCACAACCGCCTTCTCCAAGTTTCCTTACAATTTTCCACCTTTTTCCAACCACTTTTCCTTTTGGTAATTGAACAGGACCGGAGTCTGAAAGTTCTGCTTGACATAACAGCAAAGCACCGCTTCAGTTGAGCCATCGCTTAACCTGACATAGATCGCCAAGTATGTTTTAAGATGCATAAAAATGA